ACCTCTCTCACACACACACGACACATAACTCACTCAAGATTAGATTCATCAAGACACTCTAGTCAAAGCAGTTAAGCAAAGTTGAGATCATACAATTTAATGTATTTATACAAGAGTCAAAAACTAAGCCTAAGCGTAACAACCAAAGTACTCACTATTCTCAAGGCATAACAAAGTCAAGAGATATTGCTTCAATTAAACACACAACACAATGGCTCATATTCCTAAAAAAATAAAACTAACTACACCCGGTTCAAACAAAACCCTTGGAAAAGAACCGCAGCACAAAGAAAAACCAAGGGGTAATTGCTACACTACCTAAAAAAAGAAAATCTTTTTGTCTTTTTCTTTAGACTTAAATCCCTCAAGAAAATTTTCTAATAGATCTATCTTCGGGAAAAGTCCAATCTTTTTTTCTTCGTTTTTCTAAAAAAAAAAATTATTCAATTAAACTAACACAACTAAAATAGCATAGAAAGTCACCCAGGCAATCTTCTCACCTCACACTTAAAATTTGCATTGTCCCCAATGCACACCATACTAATAAGAAGATAAAAAGAAACTTCCCGGTAGGCTAAAGGCCGAAGCACTAGCTGATCATGGGATACTCAGACTTCTCCCAGGCTTGGTCCTTCGTGCGGGTACCTCATACTTAGTTCCAACCATCTACTTTGCTGTTGCATCCTTCCAATAGCTTTGCTTTCCATGCTCCTAGAAAATCAAACATAGACACTACAAAAATAATACAATTAAAAAAAAATAAAAAAATAAAAGAAAGTAGTAAAGCTGGGTTGCCTCCCAGCAAACGCTTGATTTAACGTCGCAGCACGATGCGAATCATTTCCTGCCTCCACTTTGAACTTATGAATTGGACCCCAAGTTTTGATTCTGCTCTGTAATCATGCTCTTGGGGCGATATAAATTATTGCGAGCCAAAAATTAAATGATACTTTATGAGTTTTTTGGCTTTCAACCGAGGAGTGTCATTTTGCTTAGACGGTGTTGAGAATTTCAAAACATAGGGCTCATCTACCTCTTCCTTTAATTTTTGCATTGGCTCATGCAGATCAATTTCCATTTCACCATCTGAACATAATGTAAAGAAGTGTTTGGAATGAGGTCCAACGCGCTCAAATACATGAACTTCAAGACCTCTTCCACACCGGTCACACTGAGTCAACTAAATTTGTATCTTCAACGTCCCTGGTTGACTCTGTACTCTCTCTTCTATGGATATGCTATCCCTTCCAGCTATGGTATGGGGAAGGGGAGGTGAGATCTACTCATTGATTTTATATTAGATGAGCGGTCGTCTTCTCCAACATCGACATCCTCAAATTCTAGCTGGTTAGAGTGTTGGGGTTCTACTTTGGACCCCTCCATTGGCACCTCAATTTCCATCTCTAATGCACACTGCTCCTGGCTACTATCCATAATATTGGCAGATTGATCATTAAAATCTTCAACTAGTTGACTCACTTGAGTCTCCAAGTTGCGAATAGTTGCATCTTGCCTTAGTACCCACAGTTGTATCCCATCATATTGTTCCACAAGGCACTTTATCATATCCTCGATCTTTTTTAGTTCATCATCCCTGGGTTCTTTGTTCCTATTAACTTCACATGAAAAAAGAAGAACCATTATAGTAAGGGGTTGGGGGAAGATAAGAAATATAAGCACAACCATAAAAGTGACCATTTTTACCACCACACACATCACATACATTCCACAAATAAGATTGATTTGGTGCACATAACTCGCTCTCGAGAATATTTTAATAATTTTAATACAGGTGGTTTTCTTTACAAAATTTATGAGGATTAATAGTAGAATTACCTACACCTAAATTCCCATAATTCCAAGATATCATGTTTCCCAAATCAACGGTTATAATAAAATAAAAAAATACAAAAAACAAAACAAAACAAATAAAAGTTCAAACTCGAAACCTAGCAATATATACAACTACAACTATACCGTTAAGTTCCCGGCAACAACGCCAAAATTTGATCACGCCCAACTATGCCTTATAAAAAAAACTAAGAGGTCGTTGCAAATATAATCCGGTTTACAAGTCCGGAGTCGAATCCTACAGAGAACTAAAGCTTAGCTTAACTGTTTAATATTGCTAAGAAGACAAGCTCGAACAATTCCTAAGTTATAAATATTAAGGTTCTTGTATCTAATTAACTAACAAATTAAAATAGTAAATTAACAACTAAAGATACTAAGAGTTAGAGACAAGATTAAGGAGGTCTAGAGTTATGATTTTCCCTATTGTCGGAATCCTTCCCGCTACATTTTCTATAAATTCGCCTAAGTATTCTCTACCGATTATGAGCGCTCTGACTGTCGTAACTCTCTCCCGAGTAATTACCACAATTTACTAGACATTTTATCCCGAATTACGCTAGCTGGCATTAAGTACGGCTCACTCGGATCGCACCCAAGGTTTCGTTATCCCTAATCCTACCTTTAAACCCTCCGTATTGATCCCTCATATACGTTAGAAGTGATGTTGGTCAACAACTATCTAAATATTCACTCTCTTCCGAGTAATACACACTAAATAGGCACAATCAATTGAGAGCTCTTCAACCAACCACAGTAATAACGTAGTTGAACAAATAGAGAAAATACTACGGCAAATCTATATTAACGTAACAGGAAAATCATCCTCCAATAGGTTCCATCAAAATCCTAGATAATAAATTAGTTATTTATAATAGTATGCATAACTACACTACTAGAATTCATAACCAATAATGAAAATAGGAAGAAGGAAGTGAAAAACTCGTAGAAGAATTCTCCGCCTTGCTCCTAGTGTGTTCTTGCCTCCTTAGGTCGAATCCCCGGTCTCCTTAGCCTCCTCTCTAAATTATGTCAAAAGTCCTCAAAATACCATTTTTTTCATGTATATATACCAAGTAGGGTTGGGCTCAAACAATTATACCTTCTTCTACGCGAAAAATTACACTTTTCTCGGATAGACGTGCGCGGCTGCGGATCAACCGCAGATGGGCCGCACATATTGACCAGCGTTCTGCCCCATTTGCGCGGCTAGTGCGCGGCCGTGCACTTGATGCGCACTTTTCACCCTGTTCGATTTGGAATTTGGAAAAACATAAAACATGAAAGTTGTATCCCTTTGAGTTAGCTTTCTAACCATATATTGTGGAGTCCAAATAAAATTCTGAGCGGAAAGTTATATGTATTTTACTAGACAGTGTGCAATATACCTACTCGATTCGTCGTTCGTTCTTAACTATCATCCGTTGATCCCCGAACACGATCCTGACTTAATTCTTTGGGCTTTTACTCAGACTTCAAACCTCTAAATTACTTGAATTCATTCCATAACATTTACATAGCTCGGAATCACTCCTACAAGGTATAAGACACACCATTAGTGCAAAATACTCGCGATCAAAGCTCAGACTCAATTAAAGTGTAGTAAATTAGAGTGTAATAAACAACTAAAATACGTAATTATAGCCTATCATCAGGGGCCTAAAGCCAAACTATAATGAAATGCCTTAAACTATTTTTTTCTTCAAAAATTATCATTCTACCTTTTGTAGATGCAAAATCATTAATAATTCATTTTTCACTAATAATACAACTAATCTATTTAATCTCTCTTGGATTATTCTTTATTTTAGGTAAGATTTTATCAATTTTAATTTTTTTCTTTTCACTGAGAAAATTAAACCATTACATGAATTGTTAAAATTATTCTATAAGCAATATAGGCCTTTAGAAAAGAATCAACGTTAAACTCAATATTTTTTTCACATAATCTACGGATATCAATATGCACATTCAAAGTTGAAAATTATTTTTGTCCATATTTTTAGGGAAAAAAAGAAGCCAGACCTCTTTACGGTCTATTGACAACATTAATATATATATATTTTGATGGTAAACTTTTGCTAACTATACTAGTTGCAGTCAGTATATTATACTAAATAGTCATACCCCAAAAAACTCAAAATTTTAAGCTTATATGTTGAACAAATAGCTTTATTTTTAATTTTTTAGATCCTAACAAGCTTCACTTTCCGACATGTTTGAGACAATGATTTAAAAGTTAGGCTGGACACACTATCTTGTAAGATATTTCATCGCTTATTAGAAGAAGAAAAATAGTGAATATATATGTTGTACTATTCTAAAAATTTATATAGCTTTTGTACAATAATTAATCATGTCGCATAATACCAATTTAAATTATAATAATTTTTATAAAAATTATACTATATTAATATGAAAATTTGGGGACCCAAAAAGCACTTGCTTTAGCTGCTTTAGGCTTCAGCCGCCCCTGTATATCCTATTATGTTGATGACGGATTTGCAGGATAAGAAAATTAAATTAAAAAATATTTGCATACTGATTACATTTGTTGTATTTTGCAGAAATATATTAAGATACATATTTATCACATAATTAGGACTAACTCTCTAACGTTGATCCGATTTGCTTCACTTTCGTTAAGTTGCTACTTGCAATCTATGAGAGTGACAAGTAGGACAAAATATTAAATACTAACATTATAATATTTTTTGGGTACACTGCAAGTGTAATTTGTGTATTTAAGATACATATTTATCACATAATTAGGACTAACTCTCAAACGTTGATCCGATTTACTTCACTTTCGTTAAGTTGCTACTTGCAATCTATGAGAGTGACAAGTAGGACAAAATATTAAATACTAACATTATAATATTTTTTGGGTACACTGCAAGTGTAATTTGTGTATTTACTAGTGGGGCGTGAACAATATTATATTTTATTATATATTGTTATCTTGTCAGACATTGAGTGGATATGTTTTTTTCATTTTCGGTCTTGATAGTAATTTTTTTAAGAGTAACTGTGTTAGTACTAAAGACAATTCACCTTGGTTGATGTCCAGTTATGAAAGACACAATGTATGGACATACTTTTGGGTTTCGTTACAGTGGCAGGGTACAATCAGAGATCAGTCAGCAAACTTGCAGTTGTAAGTATAGTAAAAAATAACAGTTCTTAATATATATGTAATTACAATCACGTAGTCGGGAAAAAGCTTTTTATCATTGACAAATATATCTTCCTGAATGGGTCTACATATAACTGAGCGCATAATTAACACCTTCACTGTTTAGGCATATGCAACCTTGTGATAGTTCTGCATGTGACAAAGATTGAATTTTGTCAACTTCAATAGTTAGAAGGTGACCAGCATTCTCCAAACAATCCTCGCTCACTATAATTTCAGTTGAAGGTGAAGTGTCCTCAGATTCTTCGACAATGGCAATATGAGATAAGATGGCTCTAGTGCTGAACTGTCCACTACTAAACTATCATTTGACACTATTCGCATCGCGGAAACTCTTGACTGCAGATTTAGCTGTAAATTTCATCAGGGGAGCTATTGTCCCTACAGATCATTTCAACTGAGTGGGGAAAACTGCAAAATAGTAAAATATCTGAGAAAACCAGGAATCTGAAGCCTACTTAAAAATGCGATATTTTAGGTTCAATGAAGCAATGTACAAGAGATTGAACATAGAAGATGCAGTTTTCAGTCACTACGATAGATATTCAAAAAATACCAACATACATTATAATCATATAATAAGCCATTAGGAAATTTCTATCCACTTTCATTTATCTGAAGTCCTCCTATTGCTAGAATTGCTTCATGAGCATTTTTGCAAGATATTCTTTTTGCCTAATTTACTTTGTTATCATTGAAATAAGCTTTTACAAGATCATTATTGTACAAAATTACTTTTGTAACTGCATGAAATTTGACAAAGTAATTTTGGTTGGTGAATTGGGTTATCTAAAGAAGATTACCTGCCACTTAAAACTTTAAATGGTGTAGGCACACTCTTCCCACATCACTGATAAAGAACAATGTCACAAAGGGTCGGAATTTCTATTTTGAATTTAGTAGTTTGAGGAGTCCTGTCTAAACAGGTGTTACTAAATATGTTCTTAGCACTTCAGAAAAGTTAACATTTGAGAAGCTAATAGTTGGTGTAAAAACCGAAAACAGGTATTTGAATTTAGATGATATTGTCATCTTCTTTGCTAAATAAAAGCGTTTGTACCAAGCTTTGGCCTAACATATTGAATTTACAAGCAATGCAATAAGCTATCTCACTAAGGACAATAAAGTTTTGGTCCCAATTCAAGAACATATGAGGCAGAGAAAAAATTTAAGAGTAGCACCAAGTAACCAACAGAGAATAAAATTCAAGTAGAAAAGTAGAAAAAATTTACTACATTGCAGGCATATCTGGTAAAATCAAGCAAGTGAAATGCTTACAATCTTAACATCATACTGATAACATCATCCCCTCCCCTTATCATTAGTATTACTCTCCTTTCAAAACCCTCCACAAACTTCATGTTCACCTTCGAATCCTGACAATGGAGCTTCTAGTAATATAAAAGGCATAAGCAGATACCACCTAGAATCTTCTCGTGCATCTCTTAACCTCTTTCCATATGGTACTCCCTAGACATAGGTAAACAGAATAAATCAAAAATCTTAAATAATTCTCAACGAATTTTCAGCGGTGAAAATCCTATCCGAATTGGAGAACATGATGAGAAATTTGGTTACCTTAAAAGTAGAAAAATAATCAGGAATCAAATAGAAGAAGATCTGATCTAAAACCCAATTGCTGAAGCGTCTTCCCAGATGGTGAAAGAGAGATGAAGAAGCTAAAGAGAAAGGAAAATGAAGAATAATCCTAGAACCAGATAAAAACCAAATAGACGTGGTTGTTCTATTGCCACTGGAAGGCACATATAAGTATAAAGTCAACAATACCCTCAACTATAAATTTAATGATACTAAGCTGACACATCGAAACTCTAGCACAATATTCCATTGATAATGATTGAATTAAGCCAGCGATACTAAACCTTAGATGGAATTAAATGAACCAAAAATCTACTGATAGTGTACCAAATCAGTTGCCCGATTGAAGAACTCACTCCACACAAGCTTTGCATGTCACTGGCAAGAGAAAGATGGCTTATACTGTTCTCTGTGACACAGGCATCAATAGTAACATCTGTTATTGCCTGCGCAACACTACCACCTATCATCCATAACAAACTAGATGCAAGTTGTAAGTTGTGGCCGAATGACAGACTGAGCATGGCAAAAGCACCAAGAAACCTAAAGAAAAAAGGGAGGCAAGACAAAAGAATTCTCTTGTCTATTATTTGACAACTCAACATCTGAAATTGGATAAAGTACATTCTTTGAAGCACTACAAAGCACCAAGCTATTTTTACATTCTAGAAAAGATAATTAGTCAGTCACTCAAAGATGACTCAATACCAAACTAATGAGGGTTAATGATATGAATGCTCTATATCCATTCCACTCTATTTAGGATTTTTTTGTTTCAATACCATATAATATGTCTTTTCTATAGTACATATACACCAAGAAATGCAATATCATTTTTAGCAGAAGCACAACAACTTATAGAAATGTATATTTGCGATGATCACAATGAGCAATCAAATATTTTAGAATTCAAAACAGCCATAAGCTGGTTTACAAAACAATGACAACAAATATCATCTTGCTCAGCCTTTCGAATTTCCCTCTATGTTTATATGTGCATATCCAAAAGAAGCTACAATGAAAAGGTAAATCAGAGACGGTGCTATTGGATAATACCATACATATTCTTCCATCTCTTCCATCTCACAGTGACATCATCTTATTATTACTAATGCATTGGTTCTAGACATAGACCAGCTACTGGAGAATTAAGTATATAGCTTACATCCAGTATAAATAAGTCGAACTCTTGATACAATACCTTAATTGTAGAACCAAGATCAACTTGAAGAAATAGAAAATATTAGAATCAAAATAGGTTGAATCCATAATCACTGAACAAAGTAGCATGTCCTTGTCAAAAAATAACTGATATTTCCTGCCATAAGTGGACCAGAACAATAGTTAGCGAGTGCTTTAAACTTATAATAGCATACTTAACCATAAATTTATAGTATAAATTAGTAATATAGAGCAAAGATTCCCAAATGATCTTTGTTGTATCAAGCCATAAACAGTCACAAGAGCCATTACTAATGAATGATCAACATGAGGTTCCACCGCCAAACTTAACACATCATCTCCAATTTAAACTCCACAAGATGTTTTTTTTTGTTTTACCCGTATAAACCCAATTACTGATTTTGTTAAAATCAAATTCGTGGTAAAATAAGTGGATCAATCATATCTGATCAAATGAGATCTTATAAGTAGTAATATAAATTTATGATTGTGAACTTTCATTACTGACCTTCTTTCGGAGCTCGAGGTAAGTAGAAGCCCACTCTTAATCTCATCGCCTATTTGACCAAAAAGAAAAAAAATAGATGTGAGTACTGCTAAGCATATAAAAAATGCAACAAAATGTACGTTAGTAAAAGGACAAAATAAAACAGAAAAATTATTGTATTTTGGGGTAGCAGAAGACTTACAAGGATGCTCTTTGGATAATTTCGTCATAAACGATATTATATGTAGAATGGTCATCACGGTTGGCTAGCGTGGACGGTCGGATCAGCACTTTGACGCAATTTGAACTTTTTGCTCTCGATAAGGCAACATAAAGTTGACCGTGTGAAAAAATAGGTTCTCACAAATATATTCCGACGAAATCCAGAGTCTGACCTTGCGCCTTATTTATAGTCATAGCATAGCATAATCTTACTGGGAACTGTGTTCTTTTAAATTGAACTGGTAATCTTTCGTCTTGTGAAGATAATAATGGTATTCTTGGGATAAATACGTGCTTATTTTTAAAATCGCCTGTCGCGATCTTAGCACTGATAACATGTGTCTTAATATCGCAACATATCAACCGTGTACCATTGCATAAACCTTCATACGGATTCAAATTGCACAACAATATAATGGGGAAGTTCTCTTTCAAAGTTAATTTGTAAGGAGGTAAACCAGCAGGATTCAAAGTGTGTAATAGGTCTTCAAATTGACTTTGATTATTAGGCTCAATGGTTTCGTCAATACCAATAAATATAGTAGCTTTTTCTGGAAATTTTGCTATAAGAATATCATTGATTTCATTTACAAAATCATTCTTTGTCGTTAGAACAACGCGAGAATCTGCAAAAAAAGAATTAGAGGAGGATGTGTGTAAATTTGAGAATGTCATAGCGAATAAATGGTTTAGAGATTCTTCTTCAGTTGTAAAAGAAATAATCATAGAATCTGGAAGTTCAATTTTGTTATTAAAGTTTATCCTCTCTTGTCCATTTCCAATTCTTATCAAGTAATCACAAAAAACATGATCTGTTTTTGCCCTCATATTTTCAGATAATTGCAATTTTTCAAGTTCGTCCCAAATGGTAGAATATAGTAAACTTTCACTAATAAAATCTTCTTTATTCCTGTTTCGAACAACTGGAAGAGTTTGTCTAAAGTCACCTCCAAAAATAACAACTTTCCCCCAAATAGAATATTTGTATCCATAAGATCTTTTAAGAGCAAGTCAAAAATATCAAGCATTCTTTTTTTAGCCATAGATACTTCATCCCATACAATTAATTTTGCATCACGAATCAGACTTGCAGTTGAGCTTTGTTTGCTAATGTTACAGCTGAAATTTTCATCAATGTCTATATGTATTTTTAAACGTGAATGTGCAGTTCGCCCACCTGGAAGAATTGAAGCAGCAATGCTAGAAGTAGCAGTTGCTAGAGCTATGTACCCTTTACTATGAATAGTCGCTAATAAAGCATGATATAAGAAAGTTTTTCCAGTCCCTCCTGGATCATCGATAAAGAAAGCTCCTGGTTTCTTGGAAAATACTTGGTCAATAATCACATTGTATGCTTTCAATTGTTTTGTGTTCAGTTTTTTGTGTAACAGTATATCTTCTTCACCAACCCTGATGGTTCTTTCAAAGAATATCTCCTTCGCTTCTTTTTCCAGTATAGATAGTTGAACGATTTCTGGGATAAGCTCATATTCATTTACATTATGACCCATAGAGTGTAAAATATCATTGATCTGATTTAAAACTTGATATTGGATATCTTTTTTTTTCAACATTAGGTAACACTTTGTAATCTTCTGACATTGCTCTTCAAATTGTTTCCATATTTCTTTTGGATTAGCTGGATTACAACACACTAATAATGTAGAAAATAAACGCCTTAAACTATATGGCTTTTAGTAGCTTGCTGCCCCTGACATGCAAGCAATTAAACTGTTATCACAGTGTAACAGTCCCCTTTTTTCTACGAATTCTCTAAAAGTATTATAACGTTCCCCATTTATAGTTCGAAGATTTGCATATGATTTCAGTCCTCTCACATTTAGCAACAGTAGTCTGAGATAATATCATTCTCCTTCAGTTGGGTGACATGTTACGATACGACCAACAGCGCAACGTTGTTGTCGCAGTGTCCATGTTTTGTCTGTTGTTGACCATACAAAGTGTTTCGGAAATTCTTTGTATAATAAGTTAAGTTTTACGGCATCTTTGTTAGTTCTGTTCATCTGAAAAAATTCTGTCAACATTGTTTTCTTAATCATTAGATTATTAATGATTGAGTTAATACTTGTCTTGCCTTTAAAAGAAACAAGTTGTTGCCCTTTAAGATGTAATTGAAGATGATAAACGCTTGGATACATCTCACTAATAGAGAAACTAAATAAACGCCAATCAGCTTTAGGTGGTGATACCCATCTAGCAGATTGATACTCCTTTATTTCATCTATTTCTTTGTTTGTATCATTATCATGTACGTAAAATGCAATTTTGTCATGTCCTTTATAAATATATTTGTAAAGATATTTAACAACCTTTATGTTAGAGCAAACCTCAACGTCCATATGACAGTTGAATTTACCAAGTAAAAAAGGATTGTATGGAACAACCCAAGAGTTATCTATTTACAGCTCTCGTACTTTCACAACTTCTCATGTGTTTCGTCTTTTATAGATGGGATAAGAATCACTTCCTTTTGATGTTTGTTCAGCAAATTTTTTTGGATAATTAAACTTACAAAGCCCATTTTTTTTCATATACGAATTTGTCGGATTCAGATTACCGCATGAACCGTGCATCATATGTTTGAGAACAATCAAACGTAATTTTTTTATCCAAATTAGCATCTGGTAATTCAGCACTAATAATTTCATCATAAGCCTCTGATGTCAATAACTTATATTCGTTAGCTAATATTATAAGGAAATGAGCATATGGTAAACCTCGTTTTTGGAATTCAACAGTATACATATAAGCAGCAACTTTTCCAAAGATATTTCTCTTGCTTATATCTGTTTTCAGTTCTTCAACTTTAGCTCTGAATACTCGACTAATTAAATCAGGTCTATTTTGTGCTTCATCAATTGTCCACAAATGTTCTTTTATTTCCGGCCAAGTCGGATTACAGGTCATAGTTATAAACAAATCTGGTTTGCCGAAACGTTGTACTAATGCAATAGCATCCATATATCGTTGTCGCATATCTCTAGGTCCACCTATAAAAGAAGCTGAAAGGAAATTTTTGCTTACCAATGTTAGAAGAATCTCGTTCTCCAAGTCTTAAAATATCTAGAAGTCCTTGCAATATATCCACTATACATAAATCTTGATTGAACGAAGCAAAATCAAGTCTTTGGGTTTCAATTTTTATATATTCGTCAACTGAATATTGCTGAAATAGCCTACCAGTATGTAGCAACTCATCCTCGTCATCATTTCTTATTTGAAGTTTATAACAGTAATATTCACGTGCAAAAACTGCATCTCTTTTTTTCTTTCCTTTTTCTAAAGTTTGAGCTTCCATTTGAAGATATGAATCAAGAGAGCAAAGATTTTGTATGCTCGACAACTGTTGACATTCATAACTTCCATGAATATTTTTTTGTTTAGGAATTTTCTTAATACCACAATGCCACCCATTCTGTCCATATGAAAACAACAAAGGATACTGCAAGGCGTCAAAATATCCATAATAATAGTTCACTATTTGTGTGCTATTGGTGTGAGTGTAAATTTGAATATGTGGTGCATGGTTTATACTATTGTCATTGTCCTCAACTCATATGCAACAATTTCTGAGGAAGTTGGCAAATTAAATATTCGTTGATCTAAGCCAGGATCACATTTCAGTCCAATATGAAAGTTTTGTAGGTCAGGAATATCTATCAAAGATCGGATAAAAAAGGAGTACGGGTTAACTGTCAACATATCCATTAGTTCCCTCACTATAGATTCATTAACTTTATTAGAGCATGCCATTCTATTTGCTAACTCATTGTTGTCGTCTTAAAAGTACAACTATAGATTTTTTGGTTTTTTTTCTCTGGGATACAAATCATCTATTAGGTGATACATTCGTCATTGAACTCTAAAAGTATAGATACCATGATTCCTTCGCGCTAAGTCTGTATCATAGTTTATACCAAGTGATGTAAATGCAAATGTATTATTATATGTTCTAATGTATGTTCGAAAGTGTTAGGATTTTTAACTATTCTCAAAATATAGATCATGTATCTTAGTGGGCATTCGATGTGAAATTATCTTAACTGTACCAGTGCCACAACAAAAATCCAGGAGATTCATATTCAAATCTTTTCGCAAAGCAAAATTTACAATTTGGAACCCTTTTTAATGGCATATAGTCTGAACGTAATTCAATATTCATAGCAATTTTGTTATTTCGAGCGCGACCTGCATGTTGTAGAGGTTGTAAGGAGTAAAATAGTAAGCACAAAATGATATTGCCTAAAGATGACACAAATATAAACCTTTAGTTATCATTATCTCGGTTGTATCATTTTGTTCATTAGGTACAACCGACGTTGAACCTACCAGATAAGTAGTTTTTTAGTCAACATAATATCTTATATATTAGTGTAAAATTATGGTAACTTTAGGCAACTTGCCTTTCTCATAAGTGCAAAGAGGATTTCCCTTGTCAAAAGGAGGAAATGATGGAAGCATTGTAACCTTACTCTCTGCATAGTTGGCGTAAGCGCAACAGATGTCTATAGTGTTAAATTTATGGTAGATATTCATACACATAAAAAAATTATATTTGTTCTAAACAATGAAACAATTGCGTACTGTATAGATTGTGATATAAAATTAGTATACTAACCTGTTTTGGAAGTATAGTAGGAGCCCTTTGTATTAGAAGTACACTATAAATGTGCTGATGTTGTTGTTAGATCAGTAGAGATAATAGAAGTCTCTCTTTCAAAGCGATTACGTTGCAACGCCTGATTTTTGAGTACTTCCTGTAATGATAGTGCACTCTTTTCATTCGCCATCTTAAGTTTATACTGTTCGCGTCGTCTAACATTCCTATCAGGACATTTCTTTTCCGAGCAGGGACGCTTGTTTGTTTGTCCAGAGTCCATCAATATTAAAATTTGTTGTTCCCTAATATCAGTTGGTACAAGAGTCCTACAATTTTTAAAGTTATAAAATTCATGGCCAGTAAACAAACAATAGTGCAACCATACTAAGAAATAGTTCTAATGACTTGTACCAAGAGATTCATTAAAAAAACATTGGCTGAAAGTCAATAATGATTTAATTTCAGAAGGTCAGATCATCTGATCCGGTAGAAATTTTGCCAAATCAAAAATACAAATTAGAAATTGCACAAATAGAATTGATCTACGTAATATATACATGGTTAAATGATCAATTTTAGCAGCTTATTAGATTCTCAAACATATTTTATGTTATATGTAGCTCGTGGTAAGATAAAGCTTTTCTTCAAGTGAATACAGTTGAATGGTCACATTTGAAGTATTTAGCAACGACATAACCAAATGAACCACTAAATGCAACTTATCTTTTACTTTGCGCAAAGTAAGCTGTAACTATTTTCATATCAAAAGCAGAAAAAAAATTAAGAAACCAAAAAATTTAACCACACAACAGTAGCCATATCAAACAACAAATATATTATGTTGGGATTATCAGAAGACCAGAAATGGGACCCACATTACCTTTTGATTCCATTAAGCACATCAATAGGAAGTCCAATAATTGGTCAATTTTACATGAAGAAAATGAAGTGTTTGAACAACTTTTACGTCAAGCCTTAATTTCAAACCAATCCAAAATGTTATGTCACAATGATTTAAGTTAAATGAGCTAAGCTTTTTAGGTTTAATTTCTTTTCTCTCTTTCTTTTCGATTTTAGGTTTAATATTGTTCATCATAAAGCGTAATGAGAAGGCTCTAGGTTTAACATTTTCAACTATTTTTTTCCCTTGGTCAAACCAAAACTTTCTTACCCTTCTAAACAGTAGTCAAAAAGAAAATTCATTTCTTGTAAAATAGTGTTTAGCTTCAGAAAGTTCAATGTAGTGAGTTCTTGGGAAAACTTTATACAGTTAGAAAGAATCCAATTTGTCAATGGCAGGCCGGCCCAATTACACAAGTTAGCACATAAGATTTGTTAAGTAATGACTGCAACTAAGCTGCTTGATAGTGTAATAGCATTAACCCCATCAAATTTGAAAGCAATACCCAATTGAATTTCAGTTGATTTTTATAAAATCCACAGCGATTGCGAAATCGATTAATGGAGAAGGAGACCTCCAAATTATTACATAATCACACAGTTTTTCCAATTTACCCAAAATCACAATAAGGGAATAAAAGAAATTAGGGCTTTTAGCATAAGGATAAATTTTGGAGTGCAAGGGTAGAAATCAAGAGGAACAAAGTTAGTGAAAGAGAAGGGTACCTAACAGTAGCGAGAGAGAACCAAATTCGCCGCCTAAGAAAAGTGTTGTTTCAGTTTACTGCATCCAAACGTTTGTTGCAACTTGCCGTAGTTATCCTACTGAGCGAGTGTTTTAACAGAAGAGAGTGAGAGCGAAACACGTGTGCAATATCAGAGACGGTGGAATTTTACTGAGTTGCAAATAACTATCTTTTTAGATTTTTGGTTTTTCATGGGCTGGCATGTGGTGAAAATCCAGAGAAGCATTTGGGCCTGACAAGCATGTTGATGACACTGACAGGTGCAGAGAGGTTACGCGGAAGAAGTTCAAAAATTCTGTGCGTTGTTATCTCATAGACAGCGAAGCGCAGGGAAATTTCTCATAGAATAAAAGGCAGATGAAAATACCTAACTGCCTTCATGTCGGCAAGCAGAGATGACAAGGGTCTCCTGCTTGCTCTAGGGCTCTTCTATATAGTTAGAAAGAATAAAGAGCAATTCCGATATGCAATGGCAAACTGATGCATTTTATGATTAATAGATCCTTAGCTTTCTCTATCTTGACTGAATTAGGGAACAACAGAATACCAAGACGATTTTATGTTACTATACTATAACAATGTTCAAACAAAAATAACGATAAAAACTACAAATAAAAGTGTCGAAGCAGGTTTTACAGTGAGAAGGTATTTAACTTTGGGTCTATTACTACAGGAATCACAATCCTCTTTCTGGATTATTGAGGACGAAGCAGATAAAATTCTAAATTTTATCAATTTCTCAAATTCCCAAACCCTAGCACCATCCACCAATTTTTCCTAAAAAGAAATCCTAATCTTACAATCTTACAATACATTACACCAAGACCAGCCCTTTCACACAGGAAAATAATAAATTACACAACTGAGAAATCTCATGATACAGAGAAATTAAGAGAGAGATGTGATCGAATAGCAGAAAAAGCAACTAAATGAGGAAACCTTATATTACCAATTATGGTACAACTCTTCTGAGTGAAACCCCTTGCTGCACAAAGTTGTGAGAAAGAAGAACATTTACCCTTGTTGCAGAAGAAAAGCAGGGAAAAATAAACCTCGTATAAATTTTTAGCTAGATTGGCACCAAAGTTACCTCCAACTGTCAGGGGGAAAAGTCCACGTGCTCTGCTATTAATACACTGACTCAGCAAAAGAGGCAAAGCCTGCAACTTTTAGAGCTATTTTACCTATATAAGTGGCCCTTTAAATTGTCTGAGAAGTTGTCTTTATTTACTAAATTCTCTTATGGCATTCAACGTAATAATATAGAAAAACAGTGGCAAAATTCTCTAGCCTAAGCAGGCATGTTGATGACACTGACTCCTGATGGAGCTCGACTGTCGCTTCTATAATAAGAGAAATGAAACAAATAATTTTCATAAACAGAAAGGGTAACAAAATACCGAATCTATAAAAGAAAAATAGGAAATGAGAAAATATATAAAGAATGTAAAAGAAAAAAGAAATTAAAATAATCTCTTTAATTAGTTTGTGACTTAACTAATTTCAAATATAGTCGGAGTCTAACACGTAGTGTAACATTTTTGTTTGTAGAAGGACGAGTTGAGAGTTAAGACGAAAGATTGAGAGTTCAAATTGAAAACCTCGATGTGACTTGTAAAGTGAATAATTTATTTGGTCAATCAAGCTTAAACAAGTGTAAGCTTCTAATAAAAGCACCTACTAATTAATTACAAGCACTCGAACTTGCTATTTTAAATTGTAATTATTTATTAAAATGGCAAAATCATCAACTGATCATTAACAATATGTAGTGTATAACTCCTCTTGTACTTGCCTTTCAAGTTTACATTATCCTACTTTCACGTGAAAATTAATGTTCAATTAGTGTTAGCACTCAACACAATTAATTATTCAGACAAGAGTTTCTATAAGTTAATCTCGAATCAAATTACTTAACCTCATATATTTGAACGACAGTGTAAACAACATTAATTATTATCTAGTTAACCCAACCAATTCTATTTAGTTTGAACAGATTGATCCTTCTGTCAGTTTTGTCTCATTGAGTAATGTCGCATAAAGAAAATCAACTGGAACTTGCAGCCGGTCTGGTTCGGTCTTTTTTTGCAGTTTTTTTGGCTTAAAGTTGAAATCAAATCAAATTTGATCCTTTTTTAAAATCCATTATCAAAATCAAATTAAAACAAAAAAATATCAATTTTTTTGTCAATTTAGTTCGATTTTCAGTTTGGTTCGATTTTTCTTGAACACTCCTAAATGGAAGTGATGCACACATTTCTCTTACATTTATAGTTAATTAAAAACCACCATCAAGCATTTACTCCGTAACATTGTTAAAGAAGATAAAATCTCCAGCGCCTCCCACCAACCTTTTCTTTCTATTTTTTTTAAATAACTCTGATGTCATTTTATGCATACTTCTATTATTCATCAAATACTTGTTACGTCGCATTTTAATAATTAATCGGTACTATGGATGATTATGGGGCCGAGAAATCTTGAGATTTTCCCCCTTGAGGTCTCAAGGACAAAAATTTAGAAAGATACTAGACAAGGTACCATAGTGTTTGACCAAAAACTGTAAATCCTTGGTTAAACTATGTAATTTTGCGTAATTAGGGGTTAACTTCAGTTAATGATAATAACCTCAGATCTATAAATAACAAAATGACAGTGTTGAGAGGAGATTAAATATTATGCACATTCAATGTCCCAACTCCCAAGACGATTAATAATGATTGTATATCAAGCAATAAATAGCATTAAAACAAATAAGGAGAAAAATTCAACCAATATTGAATGAGGTGGATGATTCCTCCTTCTGATAAGGATGAATGATAGATAAATACTAGAATATTGGGACCCTTCTCGGATCTGGTGGAAAAGTGTGGAATAATAGACAATCGAATCTCTTTAGAAAATAACATTGGCATTTTATCAAGAGAGAATCTGTTTCAAAGAGTATTCTTATCATAGAATATTACATGTCTTTCACCTTATTTCTTTATCTATTTATATGGGACATACCCCTAATCAACCTTAAAAGTACAAGTACAAAGAATATTCTATGGAATATTCCCCTAAAAGATCATATTACAAAACTAGCCGTTACTGTTGCTTCTGACATTTGACCTAGGCCATCATCGGCTGCCCGACTATGGAAATTATTTACTAGTCGACCTCGGCCAAATTACTTTTCGTAGTACCTCTTTATGTTAAATCTCCTTGAGGCAGATTTTGGCTCATATAGTTAATCCCTTCGCTTATTGAGGCCGACCCTGGACGACCTTAATAAGCAGACTTTAATCGCGATTGAGAAATTTGGGCCAGTAGGTCGAATAGTAACGTTTCAGACGTGATGGCTACGTGGCACTTTGTGAGCCGTCTCATATGGTTGCGTCGATTCAGAGTGACGTTACGACATCACGCATCATGATTCCACGTTTTCTCGATATGTTGCATCATTTCTTGTGCCTCTGCCTTTTTGATACCTGCGCTGGGCACTGACGATTTGTTTCCTCGATATTGATGTTTGGGTTCTTATAAACAGGGATATGAGATCCTTTGCCTTATTCTTTGCACTCTCAAGCATTGAATCCCGGTGTATCATTCTTCCTTCTTTGTTTAGAGTTCCTGCTCCCATTACCCTTACTCTCATATCCCCATCTTCACCGATTTTGGCGACTTCTGCTACTCATACCTCCTCTGTGCTTGTATCTTTTTCATATATAAACAAATAAAGATGGTTAATACATATTCTAATTCTGGGGGGGCATCTGACCCGGCTCCCTTGGCAGTGAGCATGCCTCCCCATGACGATGGGGCCACCATTATTGTAGAAGACGAAAGCTTCCCTACGATAGATGAAATAATTCCTCACAATGAGAAGGCTAGGTTGGACTTCTCTAAGCGGCCCGAGGACGACCCTGAGGCCGTGGAATCTGAGATGGATGCAGCTGCCCTTGCTCGGGGCTAATTTCAAAATTCCGGCCCATATCGGCCTGGTCCCGGTTGGTCGTGATGTGATGCAGATTCACCACCTCGGATATTGCGCATTCTACGTATATCCATTTTTCGTAGGCTATTCTTTTTCTCTTCCCTGATTGGTGGAGGAATTCTATCGCTATTACGGCGTCTGCTCGGCCCAGCTTTCTCCTTACATCTACAAACTCATCCTCATGCTGACGAAGTATGCAGAATTGGCTGGCTACACAATCTCCCTTCGCCACCTGATGTATCTCTTTGCGCCCAGTTTCCATAGAGGGACGATGTTGCACCTTCAGCACTGTGGAAGTAAGCGCCTGGTAGTGAAGATGGAGGATAAAGCAAATCATCGATTCTAGCTAAATTTCTTCTATGTCAAGATTGAGGACGTGGTGACAAATGCCAGTGGATTTCCCAAGACGTGGAATTATGCCCGTAAGTATCTTTGCTAAGTGCTTATTTTTGCTTGTTTTGGCTGTAGCTTAATCATTCTATTTTCTCTTCATTCAGCCAAGGCCGAGCCCCCTCCATTGGTTATGAATATTCATGATTGGGTTAGCCAGGGCTTGCCTCATACGATGGGGATTCGTGAATGGTCGGCCATTCATAAAAAGTTTGGGCCCAAGCCCCCAACGATCGGTAAGTCGTTCGCTTAAAGTTTTTGTTGCTACGGCTTTCTAGTCGCCTACTTCTTATTGCGTTGTGGGGGTTGACCTCTTAACCTTCTTTTACCTCTTTTTGTTGTTAGGCCAGAGAGTTTCTAGGAGGTCGAGGGATCCTACTTCTGCGTTCCTCCTAGTGAGTAATACGACAGGATCTGCCATTGCTGTGACTATAGACAATCCTACCCAGCCAAGCATTTCAGTTTGGCCTCCAGTTTTGACTAGATCTAGCCGACCGTCGGTGGCCTCAACAACAGAGACTCCGACCTTTCCCATGCTGGACTTAATAGACGAATCATCACCGAGTGAGGAAGATTTGATTCCTCGAAAAAGGAGGTCGATGGATATTGGTGATAGAACCATCCGAGCAGTGGATTCTTCGAGGGATGATCATGAGCCGACCACTATTGTGATTGAAAGCGACGCTGGCCCACCGTCTGAAGTCCCGCTATCAACAGGGGCTATTGAAGGCATGCCTTTGCCTGAGGCTGAGGTTGGAGTTGGCGGGTCACCTGTGGAAGTCACGGGTACCATGCCGAGAGATGAGCCATCATCCTCGAGCCAATCAACATTCCCACCACGTCTAGATCCTGACGAGGTTCGGATGCTGAGCGAGGGGTTTACTCGCATTGAGGTTAGGTTAGATGGGTCCTCGAGGACCATCGTGGTTCCTATTGATCGGGACTTATCGGTGAATCAGAGGACGTAGTCCCCTCCTTAGGTCACCTTTACTCCGATGTGGAGGGCAGGACCCTCGAGACATTGGACGATGTCGCCCTGTCGTCGGGCATAGCCGACCTCGCCCTGAGGGTAAGTTTTCCGAACTTTCTAATTTCTGTGCCTTGCACTCTACTCTTTGATTTGACTGATTTTCCTCTTCTTTTCAGACCATTATTTTGAAGATTGAGAGTGCTCGCTGAGAAGAGAGGCGCAAAACCACTTTTAAGAAGATGGAGAGAAAGTACCTCGAATACCATAGCAAGTACCGCGAGATCTGTAGGCAGTTTGGCGAGGGTGGCAACTTCCAAGCCATCAGAGACGAGCTAAAGCAAAAAGATGATGAGTTGATGAGGGTCATCGGCAAATGCAACGTCCTTAGATGATTAGTTGATGAGGGTCATCAGCCAGTGCAGCGTCCTTGAAGGGGCATTGAGGGACAAAGAAGAGGAGCTCGAGGTGAGCAAGGGAGTTAAGGCCCAATGTGCGGACCTTCAGGCCCAAGTGATATCTTTGTGGGCCGAGCTTGAGTGATATCTGGTCAGGGCCGATGCTTTGAGTGACGAGGTTGCTGAGAAGATGACGGATTTGGAGAAGGCCGAGTTGGCTCGGTTGCAGGCTTCGACAAAAGTGGAGGCTTTGGAGGCCGCAATCCGTGTTCTTCGATCTGAGTGGGCAAATGATTTGGAAACTACCGGACTCAAAGAAGAGCGGCTCGAAGAGCGAATAAGGGATCTAG